GCATGTGAGTGACTGTGGATCACCACCGGCAGGTCAGCGCACTCTCGCACCCGGTCGACCAGCCTGTTCGTCTCGTTGATTGACTGCACCGTTGACGAGGGGATTGTGCTCAACAGCAGGCTTGCGTCAGCGGAGTGCATTGGGCCCGACTGCTCGGAGCGCCAGCCGCCGGCGCCCAGAATTGCCCTGAGCTGACCCTTCTCCTTGTCGGTGGTCTCCGCGTCCTTGTTCTTCTTGCGCTCGGGGTTCAGGAAGGCCTTCTCAATGGTCTTCACATATTCACTCTGGTCCATGCGGAAGCTCCTGTCGGGCTGCTGTTTGATCCGCACCCCGGTCTGCATGAACTCCTCGGTCTCCCACGCCTTCCACTTGAAACGCCCTTGAATCTGCTCTCGAGCCTTGACCCATCGCGGATCGGATTCCTTGCCGCCCAACAGGAAATCATCCACGTGCGACCCGGCGACCGCCACGATGTCGAGGTCGCCCTTCGCTGCGACCAGCTCGTCGAGCACCTCTGGGTCAATGAACCCCTGCAGTGCCTCCTTGGTGAAGCTGTTGTCCTGGCCGTGCGCGTTGCCGTACAGCACCCACACGCATGGATCCATCTTCATCTGGGTCCAGCCGAACTCCTCGAGCGCCTTGCCCACTGTCATGAACCACTCAATGGCTGCCTCGACGAGCAGCCCGTACACGGCCTTCCGGAGCCTCATGCCGACACCCTCAGGTATCCCAAGCGCCGTGGCCAACTCCGTCACGGGCATCACGAACAGGTCGTGCTGAATCTCGCGGTTCTGGGTGAAAGCTCCAGTCACGTCAGCCTTCTACCCCTTGAAGCCTAGCCACGCCATCATCTGAAGCAACAGGTGCCTGGAAGTATGTGTCATCGTTGGGGCCGTGGTCGGGCGGTGCTCGTATTCGGGGCCCATGTAGCCCAAGACCACGATCCGCGCCTTCGCTTTCTTGTCGCCCGTGCTCTCGTCGATCTTCCATTCCAGGATCCGCCTCATCCGCATGACCTCCTCGGGTGGTGGCGTGACCCCGGGCGGCAGGGCCTCGAGGACTGAGGATATACTGTAGTTGTTCACCTCCGTGGCCTTTGCCCTGGTGGATCTTTCGAGCTCGTCCGGGGTGAGGGTCCGCTCCGAGATCTCGCGCTTCCCCTTCCTCAGCTGACTTGCCATGTAGGTGCTCACGTGCCTCGCGGCCTGCTTCAAGGCCTTTTCAGCGAGGGGGGGCTCCATCGAGACTTCCAGGGATGTCCCTTGTCGTGCCCAAAAGGCTCGGGCATCGGGGGTCGCCTTGGCCATGAGCGCAGCCTGCTCCTCCAGGTTCTTCTCTGCGACTGCTGTCCTTGACGTCCTGGCCCGGTCTGCAGTGCCTCCAGGGTGCTGCCCCTTCTTGTGGATCTGCTTCCGCACTGGAGGGGCAGGCCGGTCCCTTGGGGTCACCTGGGGGCACTTGTTCTCGGCTAGCTCAGTCGTGCGAGCCCTCTTCAGAGGTGGTGCTGGATCAGGAACTCCTTCCCAGGTGGAGAACTCCACGTCGTGCTCCGTGGGGTCGTGCCCGGTGAAGTCCAGGTACTCCTGTCGCATCGCCTGGTTCATGAAGGTGGTGACGGCCCAGGGGGTACCCTTGCCTCCCATGAGCTCGGCGTGCGCGATCTCGCGAGCAGAGGCGGCCCAGATTTGGCATAGGTCCACCTCGATGATTCGGCCTGCCCGAACCAGCCAGACTACTGACCCAGGGCGCCCCGGGTGCAGGGCCTCGTTCTGTCCCAGGTCGCCGTCCATAGGGCGGGCAGTCCCTGTGGCCAACAACCTCGCGAGCCCCTTGAAGCGGCCCTTGGTCTCGCCCTTCTCCTTGCGGAAGTAGCGCACCCGCATGCCTGGCGCCGCGGACTTTAACGCCTGGTTCTTCGCGTTCTCGGCCCCGCTGATGCGCCGCATGTAGACCTGCCTCAGGTACTCCTGCTCTGCCGCGCACATCCTCGCATAGTTCTCGGCGCACTCCTCGTCGACGCGCTGGGCCTCGACGCGGGGCAGCTCGTCGAAGTCGCTCTCGAAGAAGTGGCCGTCCAAGTCGGGTGCCCTCCCCGGGGCATGTTGAAGAGGGGAGTGGCCTCGTACATCTTCTCCCCAGCTGCGACTGCCCTGGCCAGGGCCTCCTCGGTGGACATCTCGGGGTTCTCCGCGACTAGCCGGTCCATGGTCCCTTTCGTGGCTTGGATCGCCTCCTTTGCAAGAGAGATGCGCCAGTGGGCGTGTCCCGGTATCGGTTCGTATCCGACGGAGTCGGAGTCGAAGTAGTCAGCGGCCTGCTTTGACATCTACGAGCCCTCAGGGTCCACCTTCACCTTCTGTGGTTTGCCAAAAGATGGCAACCAGCGCTCTTTGTAGAAGTCCTTGAGGTCGGCCCAGACCGGGTTCCGGTGCCGGTCCTCACCCACCATGTGGTAGAGCAGCTTGCTGACCAGCACCCTGCAGTTCTCGTCGATGATTAGCGAGAACTTTGGCTTGATCTTCGTGTGGGGGTGCTCCCACTCGAAGTGGTCGGCCTGGATCTGCTTCCACTTCGGGGGGATGACCTCGAGGCTGACCGGCGGGCGCGCGGGGCGGTACTGCTTCGCCTCCGCGCGCGCGTCACAGTGAAAGTCCTGGGCCACCTGCAGCACCAGTTGGCTCGCGCCCGTCCGCCTGAGCGCGTTCAGCATAGCGGTCTTGGAGCTGTGGCCCGAGCCCTGGTGCACGGAGGTCAGCCATCGCATGATCTGCTAGTGCTCCTTCGAGCTGGGGTCCGCGCCTGTTGACGTCCCTTCTCTTCCGGCGGCTAGCGCCTGTCCCTCCGGCGCCTCGGGCTCCGCCAGGCACCTCAAGAACTCGCGGTAGTCCGGGGAGACCTCCTCGATCATCGCCTGGACCGCCCTCTTCGCGAACTCCGTGTAGTAGCTCGTGGCTGCTGTGAGGCCGCCTCCGGTGAGCTCGCCATGCCGGCGCCCCCCTGGACACTCCAGGGCCATCCTTGCCGCCATCTTCGGGGATGTCGTGGCGATCAGCCACTCCTTGAGCAGGGGCTGGCCCTTCTCGTTCTTCGCCCCGAGTTGGCACCCAGCGACCTTGACCACTGTCATCGAGCAGTCCTCGACCATCTGCCTGATCATCCTGCGGCCCCAGCCCTCACACTTGATGGGCCACTCCCAGTGCGCATGCTTACCCTGTGCCACCTGGTCGTACACTAGCTGCACTGCGGCCTTACATTCCTTGATCGCCTGGAGCCTGCGCTTCCCGGTGGCCTCGGCTCTCAGAGGGTTGGTGCCGTTGAAGCCGAGGGCGAGGTTCGACAGGGGCCCGCACCGCATGCTGACCCACAGGTGGTCAGGCCCAGCGTCATCACGTGCGCCCCTGGCCTTCTGGCCCCCACGAGGTTGTGGCCATTCCAGGCGCTGACTCGCCGAACTGCATCCTCTCCAAACTTCTCCGCCATCCTGGCGCTCAGAATGGAGGCCGGGCTGTGCGCCACTTCCATGAGATTGATCCCTCCATGGGCTAGCAGCGCGTCGAAGTCCTCCGTGTGGCCGTTCTCTTTGATGCACTTCGCAAGCCAGCGTTGCTTCCGGGGGTCCAGTTCCTTCGTGTGGTTCAAGCCTCGGCCGGACCACTCGGACTGGAACCCACTGGAACGAAGCTCTCGCCGTTGGAGCTCGTGGAGCTCGGCTGTCCCTCGAGCTTCTCCAGTCGCTGGCTGAGCTGGCTCAGGGTGGTCAGCATCTGCTGCTGGATGAACTGGTTTGTGTTCTTCTCCTCCTGGGCTGCGGCTTCCAGCCTCTCCTGCTCCTCGAGCTCGTCCTCCATCATCACGTCCATCGTCCTTCGGCGGGATGACCTCGCGCCCCCTCGAGCCTTCAGCGGCTCCGTCGGGACCTCCCCTGGGTCCCTGGTCATCTCGTTCCTCATGTGGACCACCTCCTGCTCGTTGAGCCATAAGACAAACCTGGCCAGCTTCCAGCTGCTCCCGGCGTTCCCTTCTGCCTGACACCAGGCCGCGTAGGTGGGGTACTGGCTCAGGACTTGTTGGTACGTCAGGGCCCCGTACTTCCCGAAGCCCATGTAGTCGGTCGGTTCCGGCGCGTGCCTCTGGAGAATCGCCTTGCGGATCGACAGCTTGAGCGAAGGGTTGGACATGCCCGGCGTCTCGTGGGCTCCGACCTCCGTCGCCTTCGCGAGCAGCTGGGCCTTCTTCATAGAGTTGAGGCCCCTCATCTCGATCTGCGCGCCCGCCTCCGCCTTCGGGAACCGATTCTCCTTGAGGATCTGCTTTAGCTCGTCCACGCTCCAGGCCGGACTGTAAGGTAGGCCAAACTCCTGGAGTAGTTGTGAGACCTCCGCCTTGTGGAGCCCCTGCACCGCACTACGTGGCGTTGGCATCCTGCGCGCCCGAGCTGCACCAGCAGACCGCCCTGGCGCAGGCGAGCGGCACGGCCCCGCAGAGGAGGCTGCCCCAGCGCATCGCTCTGCCATCGACGGCCTCTGGCCGGAAATACGTAGGATCCGGAGGATCACGAACTTCTGGCTGCTGCCCGTGAACGTTCGCGTTGGACGCGCAAGGCCTCACCGGGCTCGAGCCTGAACGGCTGCGGATGTGCCCGTGCGCTTCCTGTGTGCTTCGAGAACGGTTCTGGAGGGAGCCGGGGGTGACGTCGCCGAGAGGAGCAGGTGAAGATCGATCCGTGCATGACTCGACTCGCTCTGCGCACCCGTCTGGACTGGGGTCTGAGCCCTGGTCCGCCGCTGTGCACGCCGTGCTCCACTCAGAGAGGTGGTTGCAGATCGTCTTGGAATTCTGCAGCTTGGCCGGGTCCTGGACCCTCTGCTCGAGCAGGTCGTCCACCAGGCTCATGTAGCAGTGCCCGCCGTCCGGTGACTCCTCTAGCTGGACCGAAATCCCCGAGGCCAGCTTCACGAACACCGCGGCTCCTGTGTCACAGTCAACGACGGCTCCCAGCTCCTTCAGCACCTCCTTGGACACGAGGATCGGGACGTCCTTCGCGAAGCCGTGGATGGCGATGTCGCCCTCCATGCCCCCGCCGGTGATGCCGATTTTCACCTGGCCGTAGGCGCGCTCCTTCTCGCCGTTCCCGAAGCTGTAGATTGGCTGGTAGTCCCGGTTCACCTCCCGCAGCCTCGCGTCGCCGTACGTCTCCATGTTCTTGCGGGCCACAGTGTCGAGCGCACGCTCCCCGCCCATGGCGTCCGTGCAGCCTAGGTCGACAATCCCCTTGCCCTCGCGGATGGCCTGGTCCGCGAACATCGCCTCGTTCCTCGAGTCCCCAGACTCCTGCTCGGCAACCATCGACGCCACCAGGTTGAACTTCAGCTCCTTCCTGCAGTTCGCCACCTTCGCGCTGGCCTCTGGCGGGCCCGTTGCCCCTGGCTGGAGCCGAGGGTCGTGGCGATCCTGGCAGTCCTGCACCTGGTGTGCGCCGCCGCACTCCGCGCACTTCTTCTGGCCCCTGTCGCGGCGGCGAGACCTGGCCCCGGGTGCCGTACTGGGGGGGGCGTCGGCCGACGTGATCCCGCTGGGAATCCACGGCCAGCTCCCTTGCCTTCAGGGCGACCTCCACGGTAGAGCCCCCTGCTCAGGCGACTGTCCGCCTGTGCCTCGCGGGCTTGGCGGAGGGCGCGCTGGGCAGTGTGGGTCGCCGCTAACGCCTCCGCCTCCTCGCACTGCGCTGCCGGGTACGCCTCGATGTCCTCGTCGTCGGCCTCTACCTGGTCTGGCTCATCCTCGTGTGGCTCTGGATGCTCTCGGCCAGCTGCGAAACTGCCCGCATCTGGTTCGTCCTCTGCACCTTCTAGCCATGTTCGATCGTCATCTCCGAGCTGGGCCGCGTACGCCCTCGGGTACTTGGAGTGTCCATCTCTCTCCGCCAAATCGTCGTCCTCCCAGCTCGAGATCAGCTTCTCGCGAATCACGTTGACGTCCAGCGAGCCCCCAGCAGCGGTCATGATCGCCGCGCGCTCGCGGGAGTCGAGGCCAGACCGCACCAGCATCAGCCAGCCGAGGACGATCGCTGGGAAGACCTCGGGTATGCTCCCGAGCTTCTCCACGGCTTCAGCGTCTGGGCGGCAGCACTCCAGTGGTGGGATGTCTCCGTCGCGTCGTCAGGCAGGCCGCCGGTGTATTCCCATGTCCATTCTAATCCATCCCATGGCCATCCCCTCTCGACCTGGATCCATCTGAATGGTCTCTCCGTCTTCCTTCCTGACGACGAGCTCGGGGCTGGGACTGCATGCCCCAGTGCGCGCGCCAGTGCGCGCCTCAGGTACTGGTAGCCTGTCTCGAAGCGGTCGGTCCATTGCTGCATGGGCCCCCAGCCTCCGGCGTTTCGTCTCGATCAAGAACGTCTCCAGCTCCTGGCCCACATCCGGGACGGCCGGGCGTGAGCAATGTCGCTATCGAGCCATGCCAGGAGCCCCTCCACGCCGTCAGCCCGTGATAGCCACCCGGGCTTGCAGCGCTCCACCGCCACCTCAGCTCGGCCCGTGAGCTTCGCCTCGAGCCTCGGGCCGCACAGGTACCGCTCTTCTCGTTTGGTGCCCTCCTGGTACCGGAGGGCTTTCTGCCTGTGTGTCCGCCAAGTCTTTGGACCTCCGTCCCAGCTTGGCACTTTTCCTCGATGATCCTCACTCATCGTGGAACTCCGTGTCGACCACGGAGCCCCGCTACCATGCAAGTGGTAGGCGGAATCGCGCAGTGGTAACTATCTCCTCGATCTTTTCCTGAACTCCAAAAGCTCAAGCTCGACACATCGAGCTTCCTTGTCTCTCCGCGCCTCTAAGCGCAAGCGAGGGGGCGCTAGAGCCAAAAAGGGCAGCAGTATACATATGGATGGGTTCTGCAAAGTACCTCACTCGCACTCCTCGCACTTTCGAGTCTCTATGCTCAGGCTTGCGCAGATCCAGATCTGCAGAGAGGGCCCAAGACGGTCCCAAGAGGCCCCGAAGACGCCCCAAATGCCCTCAAGACAAGCCGATGAGGACTCCAACACGCTCCAGGACGGACTCAAGAGGCTTCCCATAGGGGGCCCTGGGAGGCAACATTCATTATTTTTCCGTGGGTTCTTGACGGATTTGGGCGTTCTCGCTTTTCCCGCTTCCCAGCGCTCCCTCACGGCCTCGGCGGCCCTTCAGATTTCTTCAAGACGTCCCACGAGGCCCCGAAGACGGCCCCAAGGAGATCGAGACAACCTAACTGTGCCCCAAGAGCTCCCCAAGAGGGGGCCCAGAGGGGGACCGCCAACCGATATTTCGAGGTCTCTGGTCCTAGGGGCCCCCAGTAGGCCCCCAGAGGCAACCAAAAGGCTCCCATGAAGTCCCGTGAGGCGCCCAAGAGGACCCCAGGAAGCCCCAAGAGGCCCCCAAGGAGCCAAGAGGCCCCCCAACACATTCCAAGAAATCATGTCCCCAGAAAGCCTTCCGGGGACATGGTTCATCATGGGTCCCAGAGTTCATGGAGGCCCCAAAAGGGGCCCCCAGGGAACGCCCAAGAGGCCCCCAAACACATCCCAAGAAATCATGTCCCCAGAAAGCCTTCCCGGGACATGGTTTTTCATGGGCCCGAGGGTTCCCGGAGGTTCCGAAGTACCATCACGCTACCGAAGAGCTGTCTTGGAAATTGACTGGGAACATGGCTGATCGCCTTCTCGCGGCCCTCCGCGGATCATTTCGCACAAAGTTGCCACAAGTGCCCTCCTGAACCGACAACGACGACGACGACGACGACGACGACGACGACGACGACGACGACGACGACGACGACGACGACGACGACGACGCCGACGACGCCGCCGCCGCCGCCGCCGCCGACGACGACGACGACGACGACGACGACGACGACGACGACGACGACGACGACGACGACGACGACGACGACGACTGCGCGCCCCAAGAGGCGATGACGAGGACATTACGACGACGGCACGCCCCAACAGGCTCCCCAAGACGCCCCCCAAACCCATGTTCCCAGAAGGCCTTCTGGTGGGAACCCGATTAATCTGGCCTCCGCCCCCCTGCGCAACCGCCTTCCGGAATGCGGATTGACATGCGTGGACTGTGGTCCACTACTTCACTGGAGTAGTGAACTCATCAAGGCCTGGGGCCTGCTAGAACCTGATCTCGCGCGAAGCGCGTGCGAGGGTTCTAGTATATGTTCATGTTTGTGTGTATACATCTATATATATATGTATCACGCTGTTGTGTTGTTTCTCTCTCTCTCTCTCTTTCTCGCTCGCTCGCTCTCCCTCTCTCTCTCTCTCTGTGCGTATATGTTTGTCTCGGTCTCTCTTTCTCTCTTTCTTTTTTGTTCTCTCTCTCTCTCTCTTTACTTGTTTCTCCATCCCTCTCTCTCGCTCTCTGCTTCTCAGTGCAAGCCCGCAGTCAAAGGCGCAGGGCCACCGTGGGTAGAGTCCGTTTCGCCGCCCTCCGACCTACGGGGCCGAGCGTGACTCTCTCTTGACCTGATGCTTGCCGGGTGGGCCCCGAGGCATGCGCTGGACCTCCGTGCGGTCCGCCGCCGGGCTCGCCCAGCGCTTGGGCGGCTGGGCGAAGCGGCCACACGTCTCCACCACGCTGCTCAAGCCTGGCACGGAGGTGGGCCCATTGGGCGCCTTTGGCAGACCGCTGGACAACTCGACTGGACCTGGCCGCGATTCCGCTGCATTCGGGACGACCGGGGGCGCCGAGATATCCCGGCTCGACGACCTTGCGGGTACCGTCGCACACATGCTAAGGGCGTCCCAGAGACACGCCTTCGTGCGGGGCATCCCCGTGTCCAGGCACGACCTTGGCTCCCTGCGGTAATGCCCCCAAGAGGCAGGCATGTACGCCACGACTTGGCTTGCCCGCGCCACGTGTAAGGCCTGCTGCAGCGCTGCAGCCCGTCGCAGCGAGGCCTCCTGCTCAACTGCCTGCGCGGCGGAGACCACGCGCAACGGCGCGCCGCCCGGGCGCTCGGCTGGCGAGCACCCCTCCGCCGCTACTGCGACGAGGAGGAAGAGATGTAGGAGCACACTTCTGGCGCTGCCGTCGCGGGGCCCAGTAGTGCCGACCCCTCAGGCTCATGCTCACGGATGAACGGTGGAGGGCGATGCCCCCCCCCCCCCCTTCAGAGTCGCCAGTGCAGCGTCTTCTACGAGGGCCCGCGCCTGCTCGACCTCCGATGCAGCGCAGAGCACGGGGTCCCCTCCGCCGGCCACGCCGCCAGGGGGCGCCGCGGGCTCCCGCTCTGTTCGCTGGGCTCCCGGCTCACAGAAGAGCGGCCGAGCAGGGCGCTCGTACCTCGCCAGCCCGACAAATTCTGTCCGCAGTTGGTGTCCCTCTCTCTCTCTCTGTCTCTCTCTCTCGCTCTCTGTCTGTCTGTGTCTGTTTCTCTCGTTTTGTCTCTCTCTCTCTCTCTTTCTCTTTCTCTCTCTCTTTCTCTCTATCCACCCTCCACTCCTCTCTCCCTTTCTGCTTCCATGTCCATCACCCTCCGTCCCCCGTCGCCTTCGCTCGCGCCCGTCCTCGCTCTTCGCCTGTCTCGCCCGCGTCCCTTACACTTTCCGTCCGTCCCTTCGCATATCTAAGTCAACCCCAGGGGCGCGAAGATAACCGCGGTTCTCGCGTCGCGGTCCGGGCCAGCGCAGCTGCCGTTCCCAAGGGAGGTGACTCGAGGGCGCGTTGGCGCGACGATGGCGGCCCTTCGCGCGTCGCGAGGCGCGATGCGCGAAGCTGGGCGACCTAGATCCGTTCGTCCCGCTCCCCCCCCCCCCCTGCCGTTTCGCCCCACGACCCACGACTGCGACGCCTCGAGTTCCTCCACGTGCGCATGGGCGCTGCGGCTCTCCGCCCAGCACCTCGCGCGCGTGGTTTCAGGGACGGGCTGCTCGTCGGAGCGCACCGTGCCCAGAACGCGCCCCCCTGTTGGAGGCCCAAACCCCGAGGCCAACGGAAAGCCGCCGTTGGCGCGGAAGACGAGACGTTCCGGACAGGGCCTCGCCTTAGGCGCATCTCGCTGTCGGGTAGAGGCCGGCAGAAGTGGAACGGCGGCGGGTCCGCCTGTGGAAGCTGGCAGCAGTAACCGTGCGACGTGACTTCTTTGGGGCTCAGGGTTCTGAAATCGGCCACGTATGGGTCCACGTCTACCTTCCCTTCGGCCTCACCTTTCGTCCACTCGCATCTTCCCCTCCTCCCCCAGGTGCAGAAGACCCGCTGGAAGATCCCCGAGACGCTGGTCAGCATGGCACTGGACAGGGTTCGTAAAGAGGCGGGGCTGCCAGCTGTAGATTCGTAGAGATCGGGAGGCTTTGGGGGAGGATGGTCAGGACCAGAAGACGGAGGCAGAAGGAGGAGGAGGAGCAGCATTAAAAAGGGGAGAGGGATGTCGAGGATAGATTTGGTGCTGGGTGGGAAGCTCCCTGGCTAATAGCTGGAAAGTCTTGTGCTCTATCGCACAGGTCTTAACAGTCACTTTGGATGATGCGTTTTGGCTGTGTTCTGCTTCGTTTCCTAATGTTTCTACCGCAGTCGTGCAAGCGTCACTGCGTTCCAACAGTTCAGCAGAAGGGGGATCGGGGCTTCGAAGATGAAGCCCCATGTCACGATACGAGATGGCTTCAGGTGGAATGTGCACCGTTCAGGGCCTCCCCCTTTCAGGGTCCGATGTCCCAGGGCTCCATGTGTCGCCGCGCCGTTTGTCCCGACGCGCGGCCTTCCGTCTGGGGGGGGGGAGCGCGTCGGCCACCAGGGTACGTAAACGCCACCTCGGGGGCGGTGTGTTCGCTGTGGGTTTGCCGTGGTGCCTGCTTCGTCTACTTGGGGGCGCAGGGTTTGCCAGGGTTCGCCGTGGTGTCGGCGATCGGCGTCGTCCACTTGGGTGCGTCGGGAACAAGCGGCGCAGCGACATGTTCTGGAGTGGCGAGAAGGGGAAGAGGATCGTGCGACAGTAGGCGACAGTGAAAAAGTCCTCCCTCTGTCCCAGCGCCTGACCCTCCAGAGGCCCCCGCGGATGCCCCCCTGGGGGCCTCTGGAGGCCCCAGGCCCAGGGAGGGCAAGAGCCTCCCGAGAGCCCTCGATAACTTTTCGGCCACTCGCAGGGGGGGGTACAGTGGAGGCCCATGCCAAGAAACACCCTGCTTGCCTCCAGGGTGCCCTGGGTTTCTTGGGTTTCGATGGTTTCGCCATGGAAAGCGCGACGCTTTCACACCAAAAATGAATGGGCGTCCTGGGGTCTCAGGGTTGGGTTTCTTGTGGAAGGTTTCTTGTGGTCGGGCTCCAACTTTATGCTTCTTAGAAGCACCCCTGCTTCTTAGAAGACGCGGGCCTTGTCTGCAGATGTGGGGCCGGCGCCTTCTAAGAAGCAGCCTCCCTTCAATAAGCCTTTCCCGCCCCCCCTGCCCCCCCGCCTTGTGCGCGCCGCCAAACCTTCCCCATCGATCCTCGCTCGACGACGTCGTCGTCGCCGACGCTGTTCTAAAGGTTTCGGGGCATTTCTGCAGGCTCTCCTCGCTTCGGCCGGACGCAGCTTCCAAAAACGGGCCAGGATGAACCCAGGGGAGAGGTCTGAGGATTTGTGTTCGGGCGAATCTGGACAGACCGGTCGCCTGCCACCGCTGCTGCGAGAACTTGCGAGCCCAGTACCCCTGCGGGTCCGATCGCCGCTGGGGTATCGGACACCCCCGCTGGGGTCCAATCCTGGCTGCGGGCATCCTTCAAGCTCTGCGCCCTGGCCGCTTTCCACTGCCTTCCCCGCAGGGTTGGGCTCTCGTGTGGCTGCCCACCTCGAGGGTCGAGGGCCCGGAGCACCCGCCTGGGGCGCGAAGATAAAAAAAGCGCGCCTCTCGCGCCGCGACCCCGGCCAGAGCGGTTGCCCCTCCTCAAGGGGGGGTCGGCGCGAGGGCGCGAAGATAGCAGCGCGCCGTGATGCGAGGTCAGGAGAGTCTGCTTGGCGTGTCGCTCCGCTGGTTCTGGTCCACGACGCTTCGGCGCAGCCTCAGCATCCCCAGCCCTTCCCAGCTTCATGCCCCGAGGAGCGGAGAGACGCCATCAGCTTGCAAGGCTATGTGGCGTGTCTCAGGGGCCGCCTCCGCGACCCGCTAAGCAAAGGTTCCCGACCGTAGAGGCCCAAACTGAGCAGCGGCCGCCGAGGAGAGCGACGCCACCGCCACGGCGCCGCCGCCCTGCGGGACAGCCCGAGCCGGCGGGCGGGCGGCGCGGGTCGCCCGCGCGGCGGCCCGGCGAGAGCAACAGAGGACAGCGACAGTGACGCGCGACCGCGAGATCGACGGCGACTGCAGCCCGCGACGGCGGCAGCGGCAGTGCCTCCGCCTGCGGCAGCGACGTGCGACGGCGCCCGCGAGGCGCCGAGGACCGCCGCAGAGCGGGCCGCGGCGGGCGGCGCCCGCTCGTGCCGCGCGGGCCCGATGCCCGCAGGTGCAGGCCAAGGCCGACTTCGACCTCGAGGAGCTGCGGCCCGTGGCCTTCGCCGCGCGCTCGAGGGTGCCCGCGCTGTTCGCGGTGGCGAAGGACGGCCACCGCCGCGCTCGAGGGTAGCGGGCCTACCGCGGATCGTGTACGCTGCAGTGAAAGCTCACAGCAAGGACGCACGGATGTCCTCAGGGTGCCCTTGCGTCCTTGCCTCTGCGGCCCGTCCTTCGCAGTTTTCATTGGCCAGCCCTTCAGGGTGTTGGCAGTCGCTGCCCCCAAAAGTGCCAACTTCGGCGTCCAAGGGGTCGTTGCGTCCTTACCGCCCGTCCTTACTATGGATTTCGACTGTAGGTTCATGCGGCGATGGCGCGCCGGCGACGCCGGCGAAGGCGTTCAAGGTTGAACTCCGGATGATTGAACGGCTGACGCCACAGGACCCGGTTGAATCCAACCTTGAACGATCGGGACCGCGATCGGTTCAAGGGTGACCGATCGACGCGGAGTCAAAGCCGTTGCGCGTACCGACGCCGCACGAACCTACCGTAGGTCACCGCGCATTGGCGTGGAGAATGGATCGTCCCTCTTCGCGCGTCGTGGCCTCGGCTCGGTCGGGCTCAAGGCACACTTGAACCGTGTGCTCGCAGCTTCCACAGAAGCGACGCGCGCACCGAGGCATCTTGTGGTGTAGACACCGTGGCGGGCGCTTTCTGGCCAGACCGCTCGGGTAGCGATATGCTCTGAGACTTGTGCACTGTATGTTCAGGTCGGGCGTGTGCCTCCAACAGAATCGCATCGTGCTCGTATGCCCTTCTGCGTCCCATGGGCGGGACAGCTGCCCTTCTCAGAGGTGGCCTCGCGAGGGCGCGAAGACAACAGCGCGTCGCGCATCGTGGGGCGCGCTGCGCGAAGTTGAGCGATCTAGGGGTCGATCTTTTCAATTCCCCCCATGTCTGTTTTCCGACAGATTTCTGCTTTCGGGGACCCTGGGACCATCAAACATGGGTCTGGGACGAGAAGCTGCACCCTGGGAGAGTAGTCGAGACCTCTGGGGGCCCGCCGATGGGAAAAAACAGTCCACTGGATGCGTGGGAGGGTTGGTACCGCGCGTTCTGAGCGGCTTTTTCTTCTCCGCCCTCTCCTGCCCTCCCGCGTCCCGCAGTTCCCCAATTCTAGACGCTTCGCGTATCCCCACCAGCCCGACTCTGCGGCTGTTTCGACGTCAGTGCAATGGTCGTTGGCTCACGTCGGATCGCGCCCAGGAGTCCAAGTGAGTGAGGCTTACCTGGCCACCCCTCTTCTGCCCGCGCTTTCCCACCTCTCTCGCCTCGCAGTGGTGAGCGGTGCGGCCTCACGTGCCCACTGTCCTGCCACTTGGCTGCCCTGCCCCAGTCTGTGCTCTGTGAACTGGATGGTTTGAGCTGGCGCCACTGTGCGACTCCTCTCCGTCTATTCCTGTCTGGTGGTTGCTTTCCCGTTCGCGGGTGGCTCGCAGCTTAATGAGGGGCATTTTGCCTCTTGCAGGTGCACCTGTTGCGTTGGCCTAGGCGCCTTCGTAACCAATTGTTTCGCCCTGTGCCCCAGACGCGCCCGCCCCGCTTCTTGGACTCTTCCTTGGAGCCGCCAATCAAAATTACGCTACCGAGGAACCCCAAATGCTGATGTTTAATCTTATGTGTTTGCTTGTCATTATCATCTTTGCGCAATTCTGCGTTCTAGACCCTCGTCGCGAGTCGTCGTCGTACTTGTCGTACTCGTCGTCGTACTCGTCGTACTCGTCGTCGTACTCGTTGCCGCTCTATCGTCTTACTCGCCATCGTACTCGTCGTCGTACCTCGCCATCGTACTCGTCTTCGCATTCGTCGTCGGGCTCGTCGCACTCGTCGTCGTCCTACTCGTTGTGCTCGTAGTACTCGTCGTACTCGTCGCCGCACTCGTGGTCATCGTCGTCGTCGTCGCCCTCCTCCTCCTCATCCTCCTCCTCATCCTCCTCCTCCTCGCCCCGCCCAATCCTCTCAACTCCTCCGCACTCCTCTCAATTCCTCCGCACTTCCCTCAACTCCTCCGCACCCCTCTCAACTCATCCGATCACCTCCTTCTGTACTCATCTTTCTGCACTCCTCCGCACTCCTCTCAACTCCTCTTCCCAACTCCTCCACACTCGTTTCATTCACCTCGGCGCCCATCTCGAGCATTGATTTCTTGAGCTGCTCGCACGGCGGTGGCAGCGCGGCCATGGCGCATTTGGGCGCCATGACGGGGGCCGTACCTTTGACGGAAAGTCACTAGCAGTCGCCCGCGATCACATATCGCGCGGTCTGAGCCGACATGAGCCCGGGTGACTACAATTCTTGATCATGATGATGCTGATGATGTTGATGATGATGATGATGATGATGATGATGATGATGATGACGCCCCCCCTGCTTGCGTACCCCTGTGGCCTCAAGGACAAGTGACGCGCGCTACGCCCTGGTAGACTCCACCCCCTGCGCACCCCCCATGGTGTCGAGAAACTGCCACGCCAGCTATGCCTGGACGACTGCTATGCCTGGACGACTGGGGCGTATAGAGACCGCGGTGAGAGACCAGCCCCTGCGCACCCCTTATAATGTCGAGACAGTCCCACGCATGCTGTGCCCGGGACGACATCGGCGCATAGCGGTCGCGCTGAGGGACAACCCCCTACGGTGTCGAGGAAGTGCCACGCCTGCTGTGCCTGGACGACTGGGGCGTATACAGGCCGCGGTGAGACCACCCCCTGCGCACCCCCTACGGTGTCGAGAAAGTGCCACGCCTGCAGTGCCTGGACGACCGGGGCGTATAGAGACCGCGGTGAGAAACCACCCCCTGCGCACCCCCTACGGTGTGAAGAAAATCCGGGGCGTATAGAGACCGCGGTGAGTAACCACCCCCTGCGCACCCCCTATGGTGTCAAGAATATGCCATGCCTGGTGTGCCCTGGAAGACTGGCGCGTATAGAGGCCGCGGTGAGAGACCAGCCTTTGCGCACCCCCTATGGTGTCGAGGAAATGCCACGCATGCTATGCTTGGACGACTGGGGCGTATAGAGACCGCGGTGAGAGACCACCCCCTGCGCACCCCCTATGGTGTCGAGAAAGTGCCACGCCTGCTGTGCCTGGACGACCGGGGCGTATAGAAACCGCGGTGAGAGACCAGCCCCTGCGCACCCCCTACGGTGTCCAGAAAGTGCCACGCCTGCTGTGCTTGGACGACTGGGGCGTATAGAGACCGCGGTCAGAGACCAGCCCTTGCGCACCCCTTATGGTGTCGAGAAAGTGCCACGCCTGCTGTGCCTGGACGACTGGGGCGTACACAGGCCGCGGTGAGAGACCACCCCCTGCGCACCCCCTATGGTGTCGAGAAACTGCCACCCCTGCAATGCCTGGACGACCGGGGCGTATAGAAACCGCGGTGAGAGACCACCCCCTGCGCACCCCCTACGGTGTCGAGAAAGTGCCACGCCTGCTGTGCCTGGACGACTGGGGCGTATAGAAACCGCGGTGAGAGACCACCCCCTGCGCACCCCCTACGGTGTCGAGAAAGTGCCACGCCTGCTGTGCCTGGACGACTGGGGCGTATAGAGACCGCGGTGAGAGACCAGCCCTTGCGCACCCCTTATGGTGTCGAGAAAGTGCCACGCCTGCTGTGCCTGGACGACCGGGGCGTATAGAGACCGCGGTGAGAAACCACCCCCTGCGCACCCCCTATTGTGTCGAGAAGGTGCCACGCCTGCTGTGCCTGGACGACCGGGGCGTATAGAGGCCGCGGTGAGAAACCACCCCCTGCGCACCCCCTACGGTGTGAAGAAAGTCCGGGGCGTATAGAGACCGCGGTGAGTAACCACCCCCTGCGCACCCCCTACGGTGTCAAGGATATGCCATGCCTGGTGTGCCCTGGAAGACTGGCGCGTATAGAGGCCGCGGTGAGAGACCAGCCCCTGCGCACCCCCTACGGTGTCGAGAAAGTGGCACGCCTGTTGTGCCTGGACGACTGGGGCGTATAGAGACCGCGGTGAGAGACCAGCCCTTGCGCACCCCTTATGGTGTCGAGAAAGTGCCACGCCTGCTGTGCCTGGACGACCGGGGCGTATAGAAACCGCGGTGAGAGACCACCCCCTGCGCACCCCCTACGGTGTCGAGAAAGTGCCACGCCTGCTGTGCCTGGACGACTGGGGCGTATAGAGACCGCGGTGAGAGACCAGCCTTGCGCACCCCCTATGGTGTCGAGAAAATGCCACGCCTGCTATGCCTGGACGACTGGGGCGTATAGAGACCGCGGTGAGAGACCACCCCCTGCGCACCCCCTTATGGTGTCGAGAATATGCCATGCCTGGTGTGCCCTGGAAGACTGGCGCGTATAGAGACCGCGGCGAGAGACCACCCCCTGCGCACCCCCTATGGCGTCGAGAAAGTGCAACGCTTGCTACGCCTGGACGACTGGCGCGGCAGGGAAGAAAACCATCACCCCACGAAACATGTGGGGAAGAAAACCACGAGCTGTTCTGTGCTGAGCTGAGTTGAGCTGAGCTGTGCTGTGCTGTGCTGCGCTGCGCTGTGTGCTGAGCTGAGCTGAGCTGCGTCCTGTGCTGAGCTGTGCTGTGCTGTGCTGTGATGTGCTGTGCTGTGCTGTGCTGTACGAAGAGTGAGGTGTGTGTGTGTGTGAGTGTGTCGCGGGTGCGGCGCGGCAGGGAAGAAAACCAGAACCCCACGAAACATGTGGGGAAAAATATCCCCACCAGCCCGGAACGACGCTGTCTTGCGTCTCAATGAGGGGCATTTGGTTCCTGGCATGTGCATACGACACTGCGGCCAATTTACATCGTACCGCGCCCCGGACGTTGTGCCCGCTCCCTGTCCCTCGCCTTGGAGCCGCGAACCAAAAAAATATCCCCGCCAGCCCATCCAGAAATGATGCTCAGGGGAATTGAAGTGATCAGGGACGTGAGGGAGCATAACCCCATGCCCATGATAATAATGTTACCCCCCCCTCTTAAGTCGTTAGAGTTTTTTATCGTCGACCAATAAGAGTTTGGTCGGGGGCGCGGGGCGCGGGGGCCAAGGATGTCTCAAAACGTGCTCGGCT